AAACAAAAAAAAACACGAGCCGATCATTCGCCGAAAATGAGCCAACTTCCCCATCGAATATTTTTTTTAAACTGGGCTTCACGATACGCTATAGGACTGGATAGCGTAGAAAGTCGGTTAGAACGCGATACGAACGCGGAAATCGCCAGGATCTGCGAGTCGCAGGCGATGCCGAAGCCGACACGATTCGTTCCTCGTGAAATCCGTACAGGTGCGGATGATCGAGCCCATCGATCACGATCGACGATGATTAATGTTAAGTTGCTGCAAAATGCACGAAGAAACGTGATTGGATCTGTGACAGAGTTCCCGGAGGAGGGACCCCGGATCACGGGTATCAAGCCCTATTACCACTGGGGCGACTTGGTCCGGGTGAATTGCACGACGAGGCGATCGAAGCCCGTCGCCTCCCTCGCGTGGTACATCAACGGGAAACAGGTGAGCGAAGACGGCGCATTTCTGCAAAAGAGTTTTGCAAAATCTTCTGCGAAAAGTTGTGCAAAGAGTCGTTTCGACCGCTCGTCACCAGGCGGAGCGGGAGTTGGTCCAGGAGTTTTTCCCGTTCACGGATCAGACCGGACTGGAGACGGCCGTCCTGGGCCTGTCGTTCCGACTGGCCTCGCCCGACCGCCTGTCGGACGACGTCATCCAGGCGTATCCGCGGATCGTCCTCAAATGCACCGCTTCCATCGCCAACGTCTACTGGGAACAGGCGGAGGCGGACGTGAAGATCCGAGCGGAGTCGCGGGCGAGCCTCCCGTCGAGCAGGGCGCAGGACGCCTCGAGCGTCGCGGAAGGTGAGATCGGGGAGGATCTGCGGAGGGTGGAGGATCTGCGACGGACGGGAGGGCGGGGGGAGATAGGAAGTATGAATGTTACATCCTCGTCGCCGTCGTGAAAGTTTCATTCCCGTTCGATAGCAGCGGTCTCGAAGGTCACGGGTGGATGATGGACCTCGCAGCATGGAACTCGCATCGATTCTCGGGACGAATACGTGCATGCAAACCCGAAGCGACAGGAAGCGGGGAAAAAAATTTCCGACCGCGGATTTATTCATGGGGGATGGCTGCATGTTCCACAGATCCGCGTAGAAACGCGGGGGGGTTTCTCGAGAGAAAGAAGGTAATCTCGGTTTCGCGTGATCGCCTGCACATTGTGAATGGGGAGGAGAGAAAAACGACGGCGAGCGAGCGAACGGAAGGAGATCCGTGGCGATCTCCGACCTCCTCCGCGTATCGGCTATCCATTTTTGTGATCCTTTGTCTGCTTGGATGTCTCTTTGCAGGGAACGGAAAGGGTTCCCCGGGGCATTCCCTCTCTCCCGTCTTCGTCTCCCTGCTCCTCTTCGATTTCTACTTCCGATGCTGAAGAGCCCCACCCCCTCCGGAGGTTCGGGCTCGGATCAAACGTCGTTCGTGGATGCAAATGTGCTGTTCCTCCCCGCCCCCCCCCCCCCCCCCCCCCCCCCCCTCCACCCCCCCCCCCCCCCCCCCCCCCCGCGATCCGTCTTCTGCCATCCGATGTTCATCGACGCGACGCCAACTGCGATCAGTGAATTTCTATAACCGACCCATACATATTTTCGATGTATGGACATATCCGAGACGTATATAGTAAAGTATTTGCCCCGTATCTGCCTTGTCTGGTTCCCATCATTCATGCACGCGTCGCATACCCGTATCGATTTTTTTTTCCCATTTCACCTATTTATTGGGATTAGGCAATCAGAAGTAGCTCATCCCAGAAGTTTTCTCCACGGCGGAGGAACTGCGCCTAAAACAATCACGACAGCAGAACGAAAAAAAAGAAACCAGGGGGAAAATGATTTTCCCTCCGACCGAGAAAATGAGTGACGGAGCCACAACCCACCGAGTCTTCACGTCGTCACTCCGCAAAATACAATATTCTATTTTCGGCGTTCTATTTCCGGCGAGACGCGAACTCCGTTTCGAGATCCTCCGATGGTTAAAGCATGAGCCCGAAAGGCTCATGCGTGCCTGTCGGCCCCCTCCCGTTTCGAGGCGGACGAAAGGGCACGGATGAGAACACGGATGAGCGCACGGATGATGCACGAATGCCACGGATCCGTCGGGAGAGATGAATCGACCGCTCGAACGGATCCGGCTGTCTATTTCGATCCGGTCATCCATCACTCCCGCCCTTTTCACTCCTCGACGCTGCAATTACCGCGGTGTTTACGTCGGGGAGGAAACAATGAAAAACACGCTCGTCTTGGCATGGAATTGCAATTAACCAGATGATGAAGCGTCTCCGGGTGTTGCTCTCGGGATCCCCGAAGCAAAATTCGCGGGAAAAACGGGAAGCGACCCGAGATCCGGCCTCACCCACACGGGCGAGGGCCGGATTCCGGCCGCACCGGAGAACTCGCGATCCTATTTGCGAGGGAGCCGAAACTACAAGGGACCTCGATGGAGAGCATATTCATGCATGAGTGCATGGAAGCAAACAGGAAATGGAACGGACAAACGAAATCATCTCTCCCGACCCAGACTGTCGATCCACCTCCCAGGGGACGGAGGTCCACCCCCCCTCCCCCCTCCCCCGCCCCCTCCCCCCGCCCCCTCCCCCCCTTGTCGCTCGCGAACTGGGGATCGGCCGCGATCATAATCATCTTCGTTTCATTGAAGTGCGTACGCAGAGGGGGGGCGGGGGGCAAAGATGAAAATTGCACCCCACTTTTCCTGGTGCGGGGGGACAAAGGGTACCCTCGCAAAGGGTACCAAGGGTACCCCCACTTTCCTCTATCGTCAGGTGCGTGCAAACAATATACGCAGCTGCGAAGCCCCTCCCGCGAAACTCCCGGGATCCATTCGTCTCCACGCTTTACCCCCGCGTTTCGACGCCAGCGGTCGCATCGCTTCGTCGATATCGACCTCGATATCGGTTCGGACCGAGTTTCGAGCAAGATCTACGGTTCGGATCGAGGGTAATGCCCCCTCCGAATCGAAATGGATATTGCGGAACCCGCCGAGAGATGAAACGTACGAGATGGAGCGAGAAAGATGGTCGGGTTCGTATCATGGATCTCGTGGCGGGAATGAGGCACTCGAGGGAGCTAATGAAGAACGAAGGCACGGGATTAGGACAAGTATTTACCTCGTGATATAGACCGAGACTCTGATAGCCCTAGGCGATGAAGATTAATAACTCTTTCTCGTCTTCATCTGCCCTTAATATCCGCCATCGGCTTCCTCCGTTTGCATCTTCTCGTACCTCCATCTCGTATATGCCGGCTCCCCCTTTCTTTGCGAGGACTGTGTCGTCTGTGTCGTACATGATTCAGGGGGATCCGGATTCCCCGGAATCCGGCAAGTATTTTTTTCGGAAAGTTATTTGCTTTCCGGGGGAATCCCGCCCTCGCTTCTCTTCGTTCCCGGAAACCGATATGACGAGCGGAGCGAGGAAATCGAACCGTGACGAGTGCGGAGACAGAAATCAATTAAGGTCACGATCGTCGATCCGTGCATGCATCATAACGTAAGGGATCACCGGGATAGTAAATGTCTTTTTTCGCCCGCTGCGAAGGTGTAATTCGCAAGAGTGTGTCTCATGCCGGCTCGGGCTGCACGCGATTCAGTCCTTTAGGGCAAACAACAATGGAATGCCTTGCTGGTTCCCCCTAGCAGGCCACTCATTAGGGAATGTCTCCACGTCACGCACGTCTCTATCTGCCATGGCCATCAAATCTCCCTTCTTCCGGCCCATAAATCCCAGGTTAAGTGTTTGTCCCCGGGATCGATCACGTGCCGGCGAGGTTTCCAATCGCTTCCTTTCTCTTTCTTCCCCCCTTCCCCCTCTTTCCCCCCCACATCGCTTGATATTGTCTGAAGTCATGGGAAATGGTAATGTCAACACTTTTAATCCACATTAATCAACCAAGTTCCTCTGGGCGTATCTGCATTGCTGATTACCCTGCTGATTTTTCCCCTACCCGAGGCACGGGGAAATATATATAGAACGCGTCTCGAGGGAATCAAGTTACAACGAAGGGGAAATAAATGCGATCGAGATCGCGATTCGGGTTTACGGAGGATCTCGATGCATAATTGCATCCGGCACGTGGTGATGCGCCGGGCAGACCCCCTTGCCCGGTTGACCGTGCGAACGCGCGGGTAAGTGCATCGGCAGGCTGCACATGTTCCATGCCGCTCCTGGTCGCTTTTTTGTATTATTCGAGTCGAGAGCTGGCGAAAACCATTGTCCTCTTTTTTTTTCTATCTCCAGCCTTTTATATGATAAGAAAGAATCTAACCCCAAGGTGATGGTGAAAGAGTCCGCAAAGCCACAATTAGACAATGGGTTGGGCTTTTGTTTTCGCATGAAAGGGAGAGAAGGAAAGAGAAAAAAAAGAATGAAAAAGAGCGAAAGAGAGAGAGAGAGAGAGAGAAAGGAGAGAAGAGGCGGTTCTCAGAATGAAGAAAAATCAGCTGCAAGCACAGTTGAATGCGTATAGGGATGTCCCCAGACAGGATCCATGTAATCAACTGTCATGCCAGCGAGGCCCTAATCAGAATGGAAAGAGATGTCTTCCACTGACATGCCTTTCTCCACAGGGAACAACCACCCGAGACGGATCATCCCTCCATGCAAATCAACCCTCCCCCCGCCCTCCCCCCCCTCTTTTTCACTCCCAGACGTCTCGTTCTCTCTATTTCTCTCCTCTTTTTCCTCCCCGTCTCGTGAAGAGTCCAGCGAGAGATGCCAACAGCTTATCTTTCGCAGTTTCCCAGCGATTTCTAGATTCCAGCGGTTGTCGAGGGGAGATGTTGGACCGGTCAACTCCCACGTAATTTGGGATGGGGCATTTTCCATCTGCGTCGGCAACCGTAAAAGCAGCGCTCTAGACATAAGTTGAGTAGGAGTCGCAGTTTAAGTGGTGGAAGATGTTCCATATTGCAACGCAATAAAAATATATTCATTGAAACGAAACAGATCAAGTCCAGTCCAGGAGCATTTAAGTAAAAAGCTGGGATCCGTCTGACAGCTCACATGAAACGAGCAATTGATTTTTATTATAGAAATGTATGAAACAAAGAGCGACCGACCCGAGAATGTTATACCTTCCAGCTTCATAAACGCGCTGCCCACGGACAAGAATAGTCACCAACCACAGAAAGACTGCGGCACAGCTCCTTCATCCTTCGAGGAGGCAACAGAATTTCCCCATTCCTCTCTGATATGTTTCCAAAGTCCACCCAAAGTTTTGCGATTCACACGGGTACGCAACCGAACCCAAACGCACAGAAACTCAAACCCTGTTGGGATGACGAAAACCCTGTTTTAGGCAGTAAATGGACAAGTTCTTTCCACGAACAGGAAGGTGCAATCATAATTCGCATATTTTCTGGGATTCGTATTCTCTCCCTGACGCTTTTCGGGCCGAGAAAATGCACTTTGATCTTGTGTTTTCCTTGCATTTTGAGATCCTCTTGAATGAAATGGACCCTCCTGATACTCAGACACCGGCAGTCCACGTGCAAGTCATCCCTTGCCGGGTGGATTTTCCATTTTCGCGAAATGAGTCACTTTGGACAGAATCTTTCTCGTTACTTGAGTTAGACTTTATGCCTGCAATTCGCGCCTTCGTTTCTCTCTCTCTTTCCCTTGCAAATGATGATGTCTGAGACTGTTTCTTTGGAAATGCGCCATCCTTCCGGGAAACAGGAACTATAAATTCAAACTATAAAAAAAGAGTAAAATGTCAGAAATATGTTTCACACATCTCCACGACGCAGTCAACAGATATCATTAAGCACTAATTAAACGCCCCTTGTTTCACATAAAATGTTGCCTTCTGACCCAACAGTCGCGCGTCACACGAAAGCTATTTATTCCCATACGAGTAAATCCATTTTGAAAATGGTCAAATCACGCATGGTCAGGTCAGGTCAGGTCATGCACTTCTGCGTGAAATTTCAGCTTCGTTATTTCCTTATTATTCTAATTCTGTTATTTATTTATATAAAAAAGATCTTGTAAAGTTACAATTAGCTAAATCAACTGCTTCCATTTGGCGATTTTTTTTAAGATGGACAACAGCCTAAAAATTATTATTACTATTATTTACCTTAAAGGCGATAATACTGTCAACATTCATATGCATCTTGAAGAAATCTGAAGAGGATCTGCACTTCAAGCAAGCGTAGTTCTTAGGTGATTGCAGAAATGCCAAGAGTCAGCCCTTAAAAAAAGTTCGACAGATTTAATCAGTTGATTCAACCCATTAAACTTGAGACGAGGCCATAGTATCTTGTTTCAGGGACGCTAGAGGTCCTTTTAGAGGTCCTTTGATGTCATTGGGAAAGAGGTTGATGATGATGATCTTTGGGTCAGATTCTGGAGACATTTCTCTGGGGTCGGTTCATAATGTCATGACAAGAGATGCCCCTGGCCCAACCTACCCCTTTTGAGTTTCCCTTGCCTGGTGGGGGGGAAGGGTGG